CACTTTTCGTTTACCACTTTTTAAAGTGCTGCTAATTAACCTTCATGAACTGCATGCCTGTCTTTGTAAGACTTGAAGTGTTAATGAGATATGCTTTTTTTATGTGCTTTTTAAACATTCTGTTGTGCTTTAGATGTTCACATGGCAAATTCGTGTCCTATCGGTGTGTCGTGCACAGCTGTTCGTGACATCGGGTGCAGTCCCCTCAGTGCCAGCACTCCCCGTTCCTCCTGGCTCTCCAGTTCCATTCATCTGGTTTCCCTGTTCCCTCATCTTGGGTCTCAGGCAACAGGTGCCCTGTTGGTCTTATCGAGTTGATTGGATTTGCTCCTATTTCTGTGTGTAGGATGGTGATGCACCGCTTGTAGGCCAGTCAGGCTTTTCATCTGAGGCTGAGAAATGTCTAACTTTTCCAGTTACCATGACAAACGCTAAATAGGATCAACTTCCATGAAAACCTTTACTCATTAAGGAAGGCGCGTGCCCTGATTTTGGCATGCTCTCAGGTTATCTTCAGCCCCATCTGGTCAGGCCTCTCTCTGCCAAGACTCTGCTTTTCGTCAGATCTTGACTGTGACTTGCCTTGTCTTGCTCATGGCAGGAAGTGTCACTTTTTATCAGCTTGCTTGTTATTTATAGCCTTTGCATGTTACTATAAATCCTCTTTTACTGAAAGCAAAAGATCATTGTACTTCTTTTTGAGTGGGCAGTTTGCCTTTGTGACAGAGTTTCATTCAGACTTGGCCATATCAGCTCCCTAAGCCACTTGGAATCTGCCGTCTTTGCACCCTTGTTGTCTGACTCTCCTCCATTGTCGAGCCTCAGTCCTTCCTAGTCGCTCGTTTCCTTTACTCTCGGCTCAGAGTAGGCAGCCCTAAGCCCCTTCTCCAGAGGGCTGCTTATTAGATGGGACTAGCTCCTCACTCCCACTTACTGGTTTAAGATGTGTTCTGCACAGCTTCCTTTTCCCGAGGAAGTGATGGCTGTTTTGTTTCTTTCAGATGATGACGCTAGGACTGAGAATGGAGCCCTCGCTCCAAAGCAGGAGATCCCTTCGGCAGTCGGATCTCAGGAGGTCCCTGGCACTCTCAACGTAGGTGTTCCTCAGCTTTTTAAATATGGAGAAGCCTGCTTCCCCAAGGGCAGGTTTGAAAGGAAGCGGAACCCCTCTCGAAAGAAACAGCATATATGTGACGAGTGTGGAAAACACTTCAGCCAGGGCTCGGCCCTGATTCTCCACCAAAGGATCCACAGCGGGGAGAAGCCCTACGGGTGTGTCGAGTGCGGGAAAGCCTTCAGCCGAAGCTCCATCCTCGTGCAGCACCAGAGAGTCCACACTGGAGAAAAGCCGTACAAATGTCTGGAATGCGGAAAGGCCTTTAGCCAGAATTCTGGGCTTATTAATCATCAGAGAATCCACACCGGGGAGAAACCTTATGAATGTGTTCAGTGTGGGAAATCCTATAGTCAAAGCTCAAATCTTTTTAGACATCAGAGAAGACACAATGCAGAAAAACTTCTGAATGTTGTGAAAGTTTAAGAAATTTGGGCAAGAAAAACATTTAGCACTCAGGTCTTTTTCTTCAGAAATGAAGACACCATGAAAAACGAGTACGTGATGGTTTTGTTTCCCTTTTGACTGGCAGGCAAAAGGATCCACTGGGAAGTGTAGCGAATCTTCACTCACCATTAATATTTTGTCTTGAGAGAAGTAGCGGCGTATACCTGCCAAGATGGAGGTATTACACTCAGTTCAGGTGTTAATGCCTCAGTCATCCATGTGGTATTTAGACTCAGTTATTTTTCCAAATAATGAGCTGATTCTTGACCCTTTCTTAATTTCCCTTTAGACAAGTAGGTTATTTTCGTGTTGATCATTAAATCATCTTTGCAAAGAGACATTCCCTTCTACATTAAAAGCATAGGCGGTATAAACTAAAACCGGACCATCACCTGTCCAGAGTTTACCCTTGGGCCTCTTTTTACCTAGTTTGATTATGCATGTCAGAAAATCCGAGCTAAGGGATGACTCATGCCACCAGGTAAAATGAATCTTGAAATTTCAGCTGAGGAGGTAGGTGGTGGTGGTGATAAAAACATCAAAAAGTGAGTGGGGATACGTAAGATTGGGGAAGATACACACTTTGGTCTGAAAATGGAAGTACATCAAGGAATTTACCTCTGTGTGTGTGTCTTCCTGCAGGAAAGTGCCAAAAAGGTCCTCCTACATGTGATTTGGAGGCGTCCTGCTGATAAAAATAACGTTCTCCTGTGCATCTCTAGAAAGTGGGCAGTCCAAGCTACAGTTACAACTAAAGGACGATAATAACATTAGGGAGGAATTGTAGTGAATGTCAGTGTCCAAGGGGAGCTGTGAACATAAGGGTGCTGGTCTGGCTTTGGAAAAGTCTTAACAAAGTTGTAATTTGTAATTAAATTGCCTTCATCATCGTTGAGGACAGAATTCCCTGACCAGTGGGTATCAAATATCAGGTTTGTTTGTTCCTTTTTTGGGGGGTGGGGGGGTGGTGGTTTATAAAATGGTTGAACAAGATTAAAAAACAACAGCAATGTGATTATTAAATGTTTTCTATCGACAAGGCACTGTGCTAGGTACTGTATTCCTACCATAAATAGGTGGCTATTCCACTGTAAATCATTGGGAGTCCGTCGAAACTGCTTTTTCCCCTGTGTCTGATCAATCCTGGGGGAGTTCACTTCTGAGAGTGTCAGAACCATAGTTCTCTTACCCGGATGTTGTCTTTCGGAGCCAGGGTTCAGGGGAAGGGGTGTGGATAATAACAGAGCTGTCCAACTCTCCCAACATTTTTCCAGAGCTGAGTCAGATAGTCTCTATCATAGTTTGGAAGTTTGTGGAGTCTTTCATGAAAACAGCCTCTGTAGCATTGAGGTTGTACCTATATGTTAAGTTGAGTGAACTGCTCTGTTTTAAAAATAAACAGCTTCTTAACTAGTTCATTAACAGAATTGACTGAACTTAAAAAAAATTCAATCTTAACACATTTTTTGAAATGTATTATGGTAATATATTGTAGCAGTAGGATTATATACTCCTTGGCTGAGAATCCCAAGTTCTGTGTTTCTACTATTTGGTAGAAAACTCGAAGTTAGAGTCTGTGAGGAAGGGCATTTTTAGAATGGGCATCCTGGTTGTGGAAAATGACCCACATTAATACAGACACAGTTCCGGAAATGTTGGTTCCATCGGTGCCGGGATCAAATTCAAACATGGAGCGTGAGATAGGTGTGCGTGAGCCTGTTACAGGGGTAGTAAGGAATGTGCGGCCAGCTGGCAGACAAGGCAGTGCAGATTTTCTGATAATGAATTATAAGAAATGTGCTCTATAGATTAAGATTTATTGAAGTATAAATATGTAGCAATGATATGTATTTTAAGTTATACAAAATATTGGGACTTTTGTTTGGGTCTTTCTTTATGTGGCTGAGGAAACAAATCTCAATGTCCAATAAAGCTGCAAACTCCTCCACTCTGAGATAAAACTGTCTCAGGTTGATTGGTTTATTTATAACTGGCTTTTCTCTAAGTCGGTTTTGAGAGGGGGGCTCTCTCTTTGACTTACATGTCATGAGTTTTTAGATCTTTTCATTTTCCGTATACAAAGGAGCTTCCCGGGGATAGTTTTGACATAAATGCCAAAGACATTTGGTAATGTGAGAGCTTAGAAGAAATAGCAGAATTGGGTAATATGTTTTGGCTTGCCCCGTCTGATAACCGGGACATTGTTAAGAAAGGATTCTGGGGCTGAGGCAAGGTAAGCTCTGCTGAGAAAAGAGGGGGTAGCCTAAGCAGCCCAGTCAAAGCACCCAGAAAAGGGGAGTGGTGGTCTGTGTGCGTGTGTACTCGCCATCTCTGGTTAGGACAAGACAAATATCTAAAATTACTGTTTGGTGATTAATGAGTATATCCAGGTGTTCCTTTGCAGCCACATGGATAATGTAATTACCATTTCCAGAGGTGCCCGGCCTCATGACCAGGCGGTTGCCATATAGCCGTGCTTAGGACATCTAGTCAGCAAATGAGCCTTTCCTTTGGTGTTTGCAGAATGCTGGTACCTGCTGAATAGCCACTGAGCATGTGCTGGTGGCTGCTAATCCCCAACCCCCACTCTCCACCCCCTTCTGGCTTTCTTAGAGGCTAAACTCACACTCACACCCAGTTGACATGACCATTTAGCAATTTGTCTATCATATAGATGTGAGTTGAAGGTAGGGTTCCATGTATTGAAATAATCTGCATGCCACTGTTGGATTAGACGCTATACCTATCACACCGAGATTTGTAGAAGAGGAAAGGAGCAGTCAGTGTGTTCCTTGCATGTGGACAATTAGAGCTAAAACGCAAATCTACAGATATTCTTACTATGCCATGAGTCATGGCAGTCAAATTTGGGTAAGTTTATGATTTTCTCCTTTATGACTAGAAGGATGAAAGCTGTTTGAGCTTGTCATACATTTTCTACAACACAAATGTATAATGAAGTAAAACGCCCTCATGGATTAATGGATCTGTGAGGTTTCTGGACTTTGTGAGGTTTAATGGATCTGTGAGGTTTCTGGACTTTGCAAATATATATATATATATACACACATATATTTGCAAAACGTCTTAATATATGATACTTGTGCTTGCTGTGTTCAAGCACTGTTGTAAGTGCTTTACAGTGGATTAATTTAATCCTCACAGCAGCCATATGAGGTTGGTACTTTTATCCCCATGTTACATGTACTGCACTAAGACATGCCTTTTTCCTCCTACTTTGATGTAGGGAGGAACCTCTGTTGACATAGTGGGTTACGTGTTAGGTTGCTAACCACCGGTCCTAGGATAGGTGAAAGTCGAGGCTTTCTACTCTTCATCAGGAGTTACAGCCTCAAACCCACAGGGGCAGGTCTGCCTTGTCCTGTAGGGTCACTGTGAGAATTGGCTTGAGAGGAGTGACTGGTGGATTGGCTTTGTTTTAACGTAGACAAAAGGAGCTCTGGTGGCATAGTGCATTAGGTGTTGGGCTGCTAGCCACGAGGTTAGTAATTCAAAACCATCAGCCTTTCCTTGGGATTGAAAGATGAGGCTTGCTACTACTGTAAAGATTTACTGCCTTGGGAACCCACAGGGCCAGTTCTACTCTGTCCTGGGAGGTTGCTATGAGTCAGAATTGAGTGGACGGCAGTAAGTTTGATGTAGGCATTGTTTTTTGTGGCTACTTACCATCCCATTGCATGAATACAATGTAATTTCTGTAACCAACCTCTTTTGGATGGGTAAAGTTCTTTCTGATTTTTTATTATTATAGTGGTAGACATCTCCTAATACATATATTTTTGCTACGTTTGTAAATGTCTCTGTAAGGAATATAGCTAGATAAGGATTTCTTGGGTCAGAGAATGTGCACATTTACACTTTGGGAAACACCACCAGAAATGACTCCACCCAGTTACAGCTCCATCAGTGGACGGTGAGAAGCGTCTGTTTGCTTACACTCCCCACCAACCCTGCATCCTTCACCTGTTTTTCCTTCTTTTTGTAAAATTCATTTGACCTTTTCTTTGATTCTTAGAGTGGAAGATTTTTTCATGTTTATTGGCCACTTGTATTCATTATGAACATAGAAATGACTACCCTTTGACTGTACAAAGTTGTCAGTGATAGACAGGTAAAAGAGTAAAGGGAGACCCTTTCTCCTGCACTGAATCACATTCCACTTCCCGGTTTCGACTGCATCCTTCTCTTCCCCTTTTCACACCTGTCCATGAGCACACAGATGCACATACAAACCACAGGAAGGGTAGTCTCTCTCTTGAGGGGGGAGGGGTGAAGTCTCAAAGACGTTCTGAGATCTTTGACTTTCTTTACTGGCTCCATAGAACTTAGTTCTTTAAAAATACCATTTCTTAACTATTGCCTTTTTTATTTCTCTCTTACAGTGCTGAAGTAAGCATTTTACTCAGATATTTCTGTGCATGTGTGTGAATGTTTCTTTAGACGGGAGTCCTAGATGGGCGATGTCGGGTCAGAGGATGTCATTTGGAACAGAGCAGCCTTAGCCTTCCACATTGTACTAACTATGGAAAGTGCCCATTTCCCCACACAGCCATATGTACATTTGATAGCTTTCATCTGATGGGGGAATTTTTTAAAAAATTTGTATCTCCCCAATTCGTGGTAAGGTGAGGGCTGTTTCTGTGTTTATTGGCCATTTGTGTTTTTACCTGTAAATTGTTCATATCCTTTACCTGCCTTGGTATTGGATTGTGTGTGGACATCTGATGTTTTTGTTTCTTCAGCATTTCTTTCCCCACTTTCTGATCAGAGACCCTTATTTGTTGTGGGAACCCATTCCCTGTGACTGAGATGATGTCACCCTCCTCCAGCCCCACGCAGGGTGAACAAATGACCTGGCCTAGCCATTCTGAGTCACCTGGCTCTGTAGCCGCAGTGATTAACAAATGGGCATATACCTCAGGTCAGGTGAATGAGAATCTCAACAAAACTTCTGGAACTATTTTTAAGAAGGTTCTAATGAGATCCCAGGGACGAAGAACTGTGTAAGCCTGAATGTGTACCATGTGAAGAGAGCCCATCTGAGAAGAAACTCGGAGGCTAGCAGAAGTGGAAAGAGAACTAAGTCCTGAAGTCATTTTTCTTGAGGCCCTAGATCCAGCTGTGCCTAAAGCCTGCCCTACCTCTGGACTTTTAAAGTTTTGTGAGCCAATAAAGTCCCTTTCTTGTTTCAAGACTATTTGAATTGGGTTTCTGTCCTGATTAACATAGGTTACTTGTATTTTCTTATTGACTTGTAGGAAACGTTTGTAATTTTTTCAGTTCTCTTATTTGCTTACTTTAGAATGATACTACTT